TTTTTCCCCAAAAGAAGGACCTGAGGACCCAGGATGGGGGTGACCTCTGACACTGGCTCAACAGTATGATGCTGTTGAGAGCTTTGATTTCTTTAAATCATGATCTTGGGGGGCTCTTTTCCAACCTCAATGACTGTGAATGTTGTGGTTTGGGGTTTTTTTTCCCCCAAAAAGAAGGACCTGAGGACCCAGGATGGGGGGGGTGACCTCTGACACTGGCTCAACAGTATGATGCTATTGAGAGTTTTGATTTCTTTGAATCATGATCTTGGAGGAGTCTTTTCCAAACTCAATGACTGTGAACTGTTGTGGTTTTTGTGGGTTTGTTTGGGGTTTTTTTCCACAAAAAGAAGGACCCCAGGACCCAGGAAGGAGGATCTTCAGACACCGTCTTAACAGTTGAGAGTTTGATTTCTTTGAATCACGATCTTGGGGGTGTGTGTGTATTTTGAGGTTTGGGGGTTCCCCCCCCCCAAAAAAAAAGAAGAGCCCTGTTCCCCCCTCAGCGCAGGGCCCAGCCCGGCGCTCGGCCCAGGCCGCCATGGCCGCGCCCGTCGCCCCGGGAGACGCCGCCGGAAGGGGCCGCTCCGCCGGTTTCCGCCCCGGCCCCGCCGGTTTCCGCCCCGGCCCCGCCATCGCGGCCGCCCCGGCGCGGCCCGAGCATGTCCCGGGTGCCCGTGGGGAAGGTGCTGCTGCGGAACGTCATCCGGCACACGGGAGCGCACAACAAGGTGCGGGCAGGGCAGGGCCCGGCGGCGGCGGCAGCGGGGTGCGGGGGTCTCACGGTGGTGCGGGGACATCCCGGGGTGTGGGGACATGCTGGGGGTGTGGGGACGTGCTGGGGGTGTGGGGATATTCCGGGGTGCGGGGATCTCACGGTGGTGCGGGGACATGCTGGGAGTGCGGGGATATGTCGGAGGTGCGGGGGCACCCCGGGAGTGGGGGTACATCCCGGGGATGCGGGGACATCCCGGGATGCGGGGACATGCTGGGGGTGCGGGGACATCCCGGGATGCGGGGACATGCTGGGGGTGCGGGGACATGCTGGGTGTGCGGGGACATGCTGGGTGTGCGGGGACATCCCGGGGATGCGGGGACATCCCAGGATGCGGGGACATGCTGGGGGTGCGGGGACATCTCGGGTTGCGGGGACATCCCAGTGGTGCCACCCGCTGGTGCGGGATGATCCTGGTGTCCAGGGACATCCCGGGGGTGTCACCCGCTGCCCCGGGATGATCCTGGTGGCTCCGGGGACGTCCCGGTGTCCCGGGGTGGTGCCACCCGCGATCATCGCGGCGTGCGGGGACATCCCCGGGTCCCGGTGGTGCCACCCGGTGCTGACCCGGCGAGGGGGGAGCAGGAATGTTTGCCAGAGATAAAGAGGAGTTTGTTAAATCGGCCCCCATCATCAGCTCCTTAGTCTCGCTTTCGGTTTAATGCTGTTTGTCTCGAGTTCAGTTTAACCCCGTTTTCGTTTTCCCGAGTGTCAGTTTAACCCTGTTTTTCTTGAGTTCTCACCCCGGGGAGGGAATGTGTATATATTTACTTATAATCTTGTTTATTTACTTATATACTTATGCTGTTTATAAACTTGCCCAGTGAAAAGCACATTCTCTCAGGACATCCCATGAAAATTACGGTTTGCCCTTTAAAAAGTAGCAAATCTTTAATTGTTTGGGTTTTTTTCCTCGTTGTACTCTGTATGTACTTTTATTCACATCAAAAAAGTTGAACTTTGTGTTAGTGTGCACAGGCAGGATTTTAGTGCAAGATGAAGCAACTCCATTAACTTCAGCAAAGTATTTAATTAATTCCTGTCGTAATTTAGCAGGTCCAACTTGTTTATTCCATATGTTTATAAAGTCACTCATGTACAGTCAACGTCTATAACCATAAATTTGTGCCAAACCACGCAGTATTACATGCTGGGGTATTGTTGGCTTGGTCTTTCCAGATGATATTCATGTGCTGGAGTCTGCAACAGTCCATATGTTTGGGATGGCAGTGAATGACAGGGCAGCTGAGGTGGTAAAATCAGTCAAACCCACCATTTTTATGCTTCTCCTTATGTGCTTTGGTAGGGAACTACCATCAAGAGGTTGTCCTTTTGGTACAACTAAATATGTGTATAAATAATCTGTTTGAGGGTGGTAGGAAAGGTTGCTGTGGATTTTCTCAGCAGGAGTGTTGAGGTTGGTTGGAGCTGATGTCACGTGTGAAGTTTCCCTGATGTTAAAACTTGTTTCCCTTCCATGACTTTCAGCTTCAGGAAGAGACAGAAATGTGGAAAATAAGGGAGTGGGAGAAGCAGACAGAAGAGACTTACTGGAAAAGGCAAAGCAGAATGCTGTCAGACACCTCCAGGTGAGACACACTACAGACAGAGTTATTCTCTCCTTAATGAGTCCCTGGAAAGAGCTCAGGCCTGTGCTCAAGTCTGACCATTTATACCTTCATCTAGATGAGTAATCTTCAAGGTTATTAATGACTTAGCTGGGTTCTGGGGGGCTCTGGGGGTGGTTTCTCCCTCAGGGCTGGGCTGAAGGATACTGTTCTCTCTCTCCAGCAGTCGGATGCGCAGCGATGGCTTCGATGAGGAGGGACACAGGGCTGAGTGGAAAACAAGGAACCCACAATTCCTTGACCTGGTGGAAGATGATCTCCTCAGGGCCCGATCCTGGAATAAAAAGCTCTATGAATGTGAAGCCAACATGCCAGACAGGTCTGTGGGGAGATTCATGTTCTGTGATTGTAACTGTAATTATAATACCTTTTTGGAGTCCTGTATACATTTTTCTGTTCAATGTGTACTCCTATAAAATAATGCTCAGGTTCATCTTGAGAATGAATAATTGACATGTACAAACTCCTGCAGTGTCACACAACACCTAATTTGAGTTTCTAAGGCACAGTAAGCAGCAAAAGCTCAGCCCTAAGCTTAATATTTATTACTTTGCCCAAGGAGCTTAAAAGAATCTCAAGAAACACAAACTAGTGCTCTCTAGGGTTGTTTCAAAGAAATTTGAGTTGTAGTTTTCTCTAACTATAAATGGAAAAGAGAGTGAGAACTTGAGGTACATTTAATTAGCACCAACCAAATCAGCCATATTTCCTTCCTCCCTGTCTAAACTCATGTCCTTTCTGTGGCTCTGGCTTTTCAGAATTGTATTTTTGTCCTCAAACACCTTGCCTGTTTCTGACAGATGGTTCTGCTTTCTTACAGGTGGGGGCACAGTGGGTATAAAGAGCTGTACCCTGAGGAATTCGATACAGACAGGTAAGGCAAGCAGCTTTACTGATGGATCCAGAATCCTCCTTCTGTCAAGTTAGGCAGGGAATTTTACAACCTGAGTTTTAAATTTTGGATATAGATCAGCCTTGAATGTAAAGCCTTACTGTTACATGAAAAAAAATCAATTAATGTGGTGCAAGTCTTAGGAGGGGATCAAATCTTTTATAGTAATTAGACATTGAGGTTTAGCTGGAGTTACTAAAACCTGTGAATCTGGGAGGTAAATAAATCCTTGCAGTGTCCTGGAGAGTGGAGACTTAACTGAAAAATAAGATCTTAGACAGAATTAATTATTTTTAACCTGCACCCAGCAGGATCATCAACAGTGAACACCCTCCTGTTCTTTTTGCAGTGACCAGCAAGAAGGAGATGAACAAAACGCCGTCAATGGGAAGAAGAAATCCCACCTGGGGAAGCAAACTGCCCGTGAGTCCCACAAGAGGAAAAAAACAAAGAAATCCCACAAGAAGAAGCAGAAAAAGCGCTCCCACAAAAAAAGGAAGAAAAAGAAAAAGGAGCAGGGGAAAACTTCCACAGATTCCTCCCAGGAGAGCGAGTGCTCGGCAGAGGAGACTCCAAGCACCCGGAAAGGAAAACACAAGCGCAAGAAAAAGACCAGGAAAGTGCCTGCCAAGGAACCTACCTCTTCTTCTGGGCAGGACAGTGACTTTTCCCATGCAAGCAGCTCATGCACCAGCAGCTCTGAGGACAGTGAGTCTGAGGGGAGGAAAGAGAAACGGCCCCCAAGGAAGAGGAAGAAACGTTCCAGCTCCGTGTCAGAGAGGCAGAGTGAAGTGCCAGAGAAGAGGAGCAAGAGGAAGAACTGGAAGGTGGCGGGAGATGAGAAGTCTGAGGACAGCTCAGATGAGGACTGACGGGTCTGGGCTGCAGCTCAAACTATGAGGGGGAGGACAGGGCCAGGTATTTATTGTTCAGCACTGCCCCATGGTACAACTTGTCCCAGCACTGTGGTTTATGCACATCTGGCCAGCCCAGGGGGAGGAGCTGAGCCTTGGCAGCCTGCAGGAGATGCTCCTTTGCTTTCCAGGGACTTGGCATTCGGAAATCCAGGAGAGCAGTTACCTGTCTGACAAGTAGGCTTGTCCTGCCAACTTCAGATTCTTTCTCTGTGACCAGGTTGACCTCTGATGCCCAAAAACATTACATGCTCTCTGCAGGGGGGAGGCAGGCACATTTGCACCATTTTTGGTTGGTTTTTTAAAAATTCAGTTTTAACAGGTTGCTTTTCTGGGTTACCTAAATAATGGCCAGGACTTGCAACAGGAGAGAGGACAGACAAGTCTGATAACAGGGGAAATGCCACTGGATTTAACCCCACAGTAGCTTTGTCTTCCCATCCTCCACCAAAAGCAGACCTGTGGGGGCATGCACAGGGTTAGCTGGACACAGCAGGGAGCTGAGGGAATACTCTTAATTCCAGCTGAAGGTGCAGTGACTAATTCCATAAAGATGAAGAAAAGACACCAGTGCATTTGCTCGGTTTAGACTCCTCTCCCAACCCTGCTGTGGGCTGGCCATTGTGTCTACCTTCCTTCACTCTCTCTGGGGATGCTGAAACCATTTGTGCTGACAGAGAGGCCTTGGTGGGTGTTGTGCTCTGTTTCTGGTCTGCCCAGTGTGTTACTGGAGAAACTGGTACCGGGCCTTTCTCCCTGCAGTGAACAGCCAAGCCTTTTAATAAAATGAATAAACCCAGACGTGTCTGATGCTTTTGTCATTGTTTTGGAGCAAAGCCCGGGGACAGAGCTGGGAAGTCTGGGTGGTGCTTGTGCTCTCCCTGTGTTTGTGCCTGACCAGACTTGGAGGAGATGAAATCAGGGAAGGAGCCAGCAGGGATATGCACTGTGTGGTGTGATTGTTGTGTTGGCGAGTGGGCACAGCCTGAACGAGCACAAACTGCACACACTCTGCTCAGTCCTGCAGTAGCAGTGCAGCTGCTCTAGCACACACAGATGTTCACAGAGGTGTTTATTTTGCACAGCTTCCCTTGTACAGAGGTGTTTCATCAGCGAGTGAGGGTGAGGAGCACCTGGCTCTGGTGGTGTGTGGCGTAAGACAGGATTAATCACACAGAATCACAGACTGGGTTGGGTTGGAAGGGACCTTAAAGACCATTTAATTCCACCCCCCTGCCATGGGCAGGGACACCTTCCACAGACCAGGGACACCTTCCAACAGACCAGGTCGCTCCAACCCGGCTTCGACCCCTTCCCAGGGATGGCGCAGCCACCGCTTCGCTGAGCACAACCCTGTGCCAGCGCAAACCTCGCAGAGGAGGAATCCCCTCCACACATCCCACCTGCGGCAGCGCGAACCCCTTCCCTCGTGCTGTTATATTTGCAATAAAGCCGCTCCCCGGTGTGACCGGGCGGGTCAGGGGCGGTGATGGAGCTGGGTCGGTTCCCTCCGTGTCCCCGCACTCCCGCCGGTTCCCTCCGCACTCCCATTTTTCCCGGCATTCCCAGCATTCCCCGTTTCCGCCCGGCCCCGCCGGAAGCGGAAGCGGCGCCGCCGTTTCCGTGTCCGGGCGCGGTGCCCTTGGAGCGGACATGGCGCTGGCGCTGCTGCGGCCCCGCGGGGCCGCCATGGGTGAGTCACTTGCGGGGCGGGCGAGCGGCGCTCCCGGAGCCCCTCTGGGGTGTGCGGGACATCCCGGAGGGTGCGGGACACCCCCGGAGGGTGCGGGACCCCCCCGGTGACCGCCTCGCCCGCCCCCGTTGTCCCCGCAGCTCTGGCCCTGCTCCGCCGCCCCGCCGTGCTCACCGCCGCCCATCGCAGCGCCCCGGCCCGGGACAGCCACAGCCACGGCCCGCCCCCGCAGGGACACGGTATGTGCACGGCTCTGCGTGTCTGGGGGGGTCGGGGCGGGCTGAGATGCGGTTTCGTTCCCCAGAGCCCCCTGGCAGCGCTGGGCTCGGCAGTGCGGGCTGGGGGCGGTGGTGATCCCCCCCCCCCGGCGCTGCAGGCGGGCAGGACCCCGCGGGACCCGCTGGGCCGCTCTGGCCACGGGGATGTTCCAAACCATCAGGTGTAAAAGCCAAGGGAAGGAGGAAGGGGGGGGAACAGTCGTTATTTACAGTGTTTGCCTTGGGAGCCGCACCTGCTGAAGCCCTTTCTGGGAAGCGGCCGAAGCCCTTCCCGGGAAGCGGCCGGACATCGCTGGCTGATGGGAAGTAGAGAACAAACCTGCTATTTTTTTTTTCTTCTTTGCTTGTGCGTCTGCTTTTGGTTTTGCTATAGTGAAGTGCCTTGTCTCGACCTATGGGTTGTTTTCCACCTTATTCTCTCTCCCCTGTCCAGCTGGGAGCGGCTCGGTGGGCACTTGTGCAGCCAAGGGTAACCCACCCCAGTGTGTTTGTGGGTGTGGGTGTGCGGGGTTTTCCCGGGGTCAGGGGAACCCCTTTGTTCAGGTGGTACCTCCCCTATCCCTGGAAGTGCTCAAGGCCAGGCTGGATGGAGCTCTGAGCATCCTGGTCCAGTGGAAGGTGTCCCTGCCCAGGGCAAGGGTGTTCAGGACTAAATGACCTTTAAGGTCCATTCCAACCTCAGCATTCTATGATTCTATTAAAAAGGGTTATAAGGAACCAGGACTTGGTGTGGGTCTGCCAAGGGACCAGGAGAGGTGCAGGGATAAAGGACAGAGGTGATGGAGGTGGTTGTGGCACAGTGGTGCCAAGGGCACAGGAATGGGATGAGCTTAAGATCCCTTCCAGCCCAAACCAGTCTGTGATTCCGTCAATTTTTTGGCCAGGTAAAGGATTTTAAGTGGCAGCTTTGAGTAACCAAGGGCAGAAAGGATTTACACGTGTTACAGCGGTTTTTCTCGGTCTCTTCCTGGGTATTGTAGGGTTACAGGTGTTACCAGCACAGCCTCTGCAGGAGAAAATAATCCTGTGGGCCCACTGAGTTAAGGGGAAAGTTGTGAAGTGCTGGGTGTTGTTGGACAGCAAAGTAACTGTGCAGAGATGGTATTTGTCACAAATAATGGTGCTATTGCTGTGGCTCTGGTTGTCTGTAATGTGTTACCATCAACTTCAACAGCACTATTTGCACTTAATAGCATTTTGATTTGCACTTAGTCTGGGTCTGATTTAAAACAAGGTCTGTGTGATGTCACACTGCTGGGATTTGAAATTGGTATTTGGGATGTCAGTGTCCAGTGTGGGAGTCCTTAAATAGGAGATATCGGCTTGTTGCTAAATAGTAAATCTCTGCTCATTAACAAAGGTGTGGAAAAAAAAAGGTTGAAATGTTTTTAGGAATCAGAAGGTTAAACTTATTATGATTCACTAGCAGTGTTGTGACTGCAGGTTAAGGGTGTTTGTAGCCATTTCAGTGCACCTTCAAGTGGAAAACATGGAGAAATGCTTCAATAATTGAAAAGATTAAGAAAAGAAATTGGCTTAAACATGGCTAAGCCATTTCATTCCTTTACTATTCTGGGTTTCATATTAACCACAGACTTCCTGTGTGTGTGTGAAGGGCTCTGGGCCATGGAGTTCTACAGGGACAGCTTTATTTTTTACCATTATTTATTATTCCACAGACTTATTAGTCCACAAATCCCTCTCATGTTTTGCTTCATGTACTTTGCTTTCCTTATCTTGTCACTTTCTAAGTTTCTTTTCTCCTTGCAAAAATAAAGAAAAGCATTTGTATTTTGGTTTAGATGGATGGATGTTAGGTAAGCACTTTGGGGTATTGCATTATAAAGGTAATTTTGTAGAGTCATTTCTTGATGGTTTTAGCCTGGGCTGATGCTGACATCCAAGTATTTTGATTATGGTTTTAAGGTTTTGGGTTGCTACACAACCCTCTAGGTGTTTTTTTGGCTTTTTTCCTCCTTAACTGTATTTGCATGATTCCAAAAAGTTGGTTACAGAGCTCCCTAACTGATATTTCTGTTTCTAGAGTCACCTGTTAACGTGGTTCAGATTGTGCCCAGCTGAGTGTCAGTGGAGGACTGAAATCCTTCAGGTCATAGGTGGTGGTCCCTGAGTTTAATCTTCTTCTTTACAGCTAAAAATAGCAATGTTGGTTCCTGGGCAGAACAGAGTCACCATGATGTGCCATTCACTGGATCTCGTAGCTGGGTCTGTCTGGGTCCCAAAGCCATTTCTCAGAAAGTGGGAGAAGTAAATGGTGTGTAACAGGCAGGAAAATCACCAAAGATGCTTTGCCTTTAAAGACACTCCTTTCCAGTGACATTGAAAACAGATCTGTGTTCTGTAGCAGTAATTCCCAGGCATCTCATTTTGCCTGGATGAAGGCTCAGTAACCAGCTCACAGCAGACACGTGTGGTGCTGCTCAGGGGGAGGTCTCTGCTTCTCAGGTCCCAGCACTTGGAAGAGGGGCTTTGCCCTGAGAACTGTTTCTCCTTGCAGGCGGTTCCAAGGCTGCATCCTTGCACTGGACAGGGGAGAGAGCTGTCAGTGTGTTCCTGCTGGGGCTCCTCCCTGCAGCCTACCTGTGCCCAGGACCCGCCGTGGACTATTCCCTGGCCGCTGCCCTCACCCTCCACGGCCACTGGTAAGCACAGAGTCCCTCAGGATTAAAGTCAGGGTGGCTCCAAGCCCTTCTGGCTGAAATCTGTGCATGGCAGCAAGTCTGCTGGCTTATTTCCACCTGGAAAGAGGCAATGTCCCTGGTCTCTGAGTTGTCGTGATCTTTGACAGGAGTGGTTGTACCTTGGCCTTCCTTTGTCACACAATTCTCTCAGAAGACAGGATGTATATTACTGTTGAGGAATCCATAGAAATCCTCCAGTGTTCTACACAGTCTCTGGCCTCAGGAGCACTTCCTTGCCACTGGATGTGTAGGATCTTGGGTGTTTTTATCTTGTAGGAGAATCAGTGTTGTACAAAGGGAGGGAACAGAAAGAGGGCAGACCTACAGAACCCAAGTTCTTCCTTTAAAGCTCTGTGCTGTGGGCTGGCTTTGAAATCTCACTGGGGATGAGGTTCTGTATAGTAAAGAGCTCACAGCAAAGACTCCACTAGAGCAGTGGAGACCTGGATTGTTATTTCCTTGATTCCTGGGGAATGGATGCTTGCTCCTTTTGTTCTGCTGTGGTCCTTAATCAGCTGGGACAAGGAGTGGATCCAGCTGCATGGTTGGCCAGACTGGCAGCCTTCACCTTCTTGAGGTGAGACTGGTTTGGAGTTCCCTGCCACAAGTATAAAGCAGATTTTTGTGGTACTTTGTGGTGCCAGGTTTTCTTAAATCTCAGTTTTTCCCCTCAAAATTTGTGCCAGGGATTCTTGCACTTTCCTCACTCTGACTGAGAGCTTCTCCCCAGAGCTTAACAGCATCCTGTGTCTTCTCTTGCTGGATAGTTTAAATCCAGACAAGAGGTCATTTTCAGTCTAACAGATATAGAAAAAAAACCCCAAAGTATGGTAATTTTATTGGTTGCCACTCTTCTAATCCCAATATCCAAGAGCCTTCTGTGCCTTTGTGGTGAGGGCTGGTCCCAAATCCACACCTTGCTCTTCGAGCCTGAAGGATATTTCCTTTGTTTTCCTCTTCTTCAGTCCTTGGGAGTCAGATAATCTCTTGGAGTCTCTTGGAAGCAGATTCTAAGGATTCTGCTGTCTGAGGAGCTGTGCTCAGCACCTTGCTTCCTCAGTACCATTAACAAAAGCCAATGTGTATGTTTTCTAATAGAACGTGTGCAATTTTGTTTTTTAAATAGACGCCTCATCTTTTTGTTGATGTTAGTGTGTAAAAAAAAATAAATGTTTGAGGCATCTTGGAATGGTGGCATAAACTGGGTGGATTTGGTGGATTTCAGTGGATGGTCTTGCCTGATTCCAGCTTTTTTCTCTTGTCCTGTAGGGGTCTTGGCCAGGTAATCACTGATTATGTCCACGGAGACACAGCCATTAAAGTGGCCAACACGGGGCTGTACGTGCTGTCGGCCGCCACCTTCGCCGGCCTCTGCTACTTTAACTACCACGACGTGGGGATCTGCAAGGCTGTGGCCATGCTCTGGAGCCTCTGAGGTGCCACCAGAGCCCCTGACACACACGATTGTTGTTCTCTGCTGCCTCTGCTTCATCGTATTTTTACCACCATTTAACGCGAAACGAGCGCAAAGCCAAGGGTCCGTAGTGCGAACGTCCTGCAGGGAGCTCAGAGCCCTCTAGAGTTAAACACCCAACTGCAGCGAAGATGTTGGAGAAGAAACAGTAGATTTAAGCTGGATAATGTCCATCAGAGCGAGGTGGTTTAAGCTGTGCTGTAAATTGGGATGGATTAATTACATCAGTGAGGTGGTTTAAGCTGCGCTGTAAATTGGGATGAATTAATTACATCAGTGACAGACTTGCAACTGTCCTTGTAATGAGAGCTCTAGTGGGTGTTTTTTTAACTGTTGTTTGGTTTCCTGTTTTGTAAAACTTGTGAAAAATTGAACTGCTTCTTCTGACATCACAACAACTGGCCTGTATGCAAGGCAGACCCTGTAACTCTTTGGACCCTGAGAGTTGGTGTAGAAAAGGGAATACTTTTTTCTTAATCCATGCAATAAAGAATTTACAGAACTCTTGTGTGTGCTTCTGAACCGTTTGTTACTAATTCACACTGTTCCTCTGCCTTGCTTCATTTGGCTGTTATAAAACAAAACCTTTAATTCTTAGAAGTGACTTAGACTTAATACAAGAGTAGTTAATGTCCCTTAGAAAACAGAACAATTGGCCTAGAAGAAAAATACTTTTGCCTGTTGATTTTAGGAGCATCTGACCTTCACAGTTTCCCTGGAATGTGAAGGTTTCTCTGTAGCATTTCTGGGAGTTTGTTTTCTAAATGCACTGGTCTGTATTGTCCTGGGTGAGTGAAAAGGCAACAAACAGCCTTCCTGTCAGAGCTCGCTGTGAGGGTGATGCAACATTCTTCTCTGTGTCTTCAGGGCTTAGAGCATTTTAGGGGGGAACTGAGATTCTGAGCTTTATCTTTTCAGACCTTCATTGTAGCAGGCAGTGACCAGCTATTTCCACATTCTGCTGGTACATTTGTGATACTATTAACAGTAAGAGGAAGAGAATTCTGTGTTGCCATCAGGCTGATTGCGCAATAATGGCCAAGTTCTGTTTAAATTCTACAAGACTTTTTGATTTGATTGGTTTTTTTATCTGGACTGTTAATTTTAGTTAGTTAGTTAGGTGCTTACTCGTGCAATCATAGGCAAAAGCAGGTAGCTGGCCAAGTTTTTTCAGTCTTGTGGTGAGAAGGAGCTGGGTGCTTTATCTGCTGTGGTCTGGTATAAACACCAACATAACAATCATTATTTTGTCACAACTGAGGAAGGTACAGATCTGAGTCACGGGAAAGTCCCACAGAACTGTTGGAGGTCATATCATAGAAAGTGTTTGATATTTCCCATTCTGAGCCCAAACCCAGGGTATATTTGCATGTGGTGGTGGTTTAAGATAATTGTACGAGAAATTATTTATCTAAGAGCTCTGGGAATGTTAATAGTCCAGATCTCCCATGTCAGGGGTGGCAGCTCTGGGAGCAGAGTGAAAAGGGAATGAACACACCTTTCTCCCTGAATCCCCTGTGTTCCTCAGGCCTCTGGAAACTGAATCAAACCCCTGGAACTACTGTTAACTTTTGCCCTTAATTATTGTGGTACCTGGAGAAGAATGTCCCTGTGTAGCTGAGATGGATGAAGACACTCAGGAAATAATTCCGATGCAAACCAAAGGCACTCTCAAAGTGTTTACTGACCAGGTGCTGCTATGAAATCTGATATTTTAAGTGGTTTTCTTTCCCTCCCCCAAACAGGTCCCCTGCATCTGTGAGGTACCTCATTCAATTAGCTCAACAGGCATTAAAAGATTTTAGGGATCAAATTCTACCTGTACACATAGACATTCACATTGTTGTTTCCTCATTGTGTAATTTTCTTCTACCTGACTAGAAAACACTCTTCTGCTTCTTTTTTGTCAAAAACTTGCATTTATTACTTTAAATGTTTATTTCTTTTATGGTAGTTAAAACAGAAAACTGGCTTGTTTTGGATAAAGAAAGACCGAAGTTTCTTTTATAAAAAGCCAAAATATATTTTAAAACTGTTGAAATCTGTCATCATAGGTTGTGACTTTAATTTTGACTGAATTCAGATAAACTTATCTTCGTGGTTTCATCCACTCCATCTTTTCCTGACAATTTCTTTAGGATTAATTTTCTTAAGTAGCCTTCTTCCTTAAAGGCCAAGAACATTCCTTCTTCCAGCGAGTATTCGAACTTAAATGCTCTGGAGCAACACGATGTAAACATCTTTTTGAAAAAGATGATGTTACTTTCACCAGGAATGTCCTTGGGAACTTGTCCTTCCTGAGGAAGAAAAAGGGAAGGTTTTATTCCCAGCACAAGAGCTGAGCAGTTCTGGTCCAGCTCTGCCAGGTTTGGGGTGCTCAGTTTGCCCCTGACACACAGAGGTGTGGGAGGCACACGCTCACCTTGAACCGAACGATCATCTCCCCACGTTCCTTCTCACAGCACATGTAATAACTTTTGTTTTCTATTTGCACACTGAAGGCAACAGGCATCCCTGCTCCAGGGGTGGTGGTTTTGTAGCAGTGGATGGTGAAGTGCATCCCTTGGCCTGAGTAAAAATGGTTTATTATTAATAGTCTGCTCAGGAGAGAGCTGCAGGAACCTCGTTATGTCTTACATTCCACTGGCAACTGCTGGCTGCCTTCCCTGGATAATCTTCCTGACACAAGAGCCAGGACTTAAAATTTTTTTGGCTGCTGGCTGCACCTTTTTGACTTTCTGCAATCATGCAGTGAGGTGAAGTTACCACTCAGTGTGGGTAGGATGTCAGACCCTTCTATGTGCATGCTTCAAGTGAGACTTGGGTTGTAAACAGTCATCTGTAAATCAGATTTATGTCTGTATACAGGGGACTCATAAATAAATATGTGCAACAAATACAGTTCTGAATAAATTGCTGAAACACCCCAGAAAAATCAAAGCCCAAACTGTAAGTATATTGTTAACTACTACTGTGACAAGAAAGTAAGAATTTTTAGTGCTAATACATTGTTTAAATTTTAAAATTACTTTCTGTAATCCAACACAAAAAATAATAATTCTGTGGTCAGAGCTAACCAAAACTCTTAACAGTCCTTTTTCTGCTTGTGACACACTGCAGACTCAGTTCCTAATCCAGGAACCTCATCCTTCCCCAAAGCAAAGACACAAAATTTCAGCTCTCTTAGCTCATCTTCATTCTTACAAACAAAGTTTAAGTCCTTACTCTCAGCCTCATCTTTTAGAGTCAGTGATGGAAAGAACACAACCCCCTGCAGAGTAAAGGAGCAGTGCAGTGGGCACAGTTTAGCTCTGAAAAGGTACCAGATTGCATCTCCTGGTCTGTCACATCCTCAAAGGCTGCCAGGTTGAGATCCGGGCGAACCACCAGCAACTGGCTGTTCACGTTCCGAAGGACTCTGCACAGAGTCCTTTCCTTGCAAAGGGCATCACATTCCAGCTCTGGGGAGATAACAAGGAAGATTTCTTAGTATTTCAGCTCTGCAAGCTCCCTGCAAGCTTGTTCTTGTTAAGGACATCACGTGTGATGAGCTCAAACCAACAACCTCAAACAAAAGAAGGCAGTGTCATTTCTTCCACCTCTGGCTTGTGGCAACCCAGGATTTCTCAGAATACAGCAAGATCTATATCTGAGCAACAGAAGCTGCTGTGCCTGTTTGTGAGAATTCAGATGCAACAGTTCTGTCTTTTGCCCAGCAATTAGAATGGCACGAAAAGGTGCTGCCAGGGAGGGCACTGCCCTGTACCCGAGGAGGAATTAAAGCAACACGAGCTCCAAGAAGGAGCAGGGCAGCTGTAGCTCTCTTTTTTCTTGCAGCAGCCAAGTTTGAAACTTGTCCTTTAAGGCACACAGAGCATCTGTGGGTTAGTAAAAAACACGAGCAAGTGTTTTTACTGGTGGTAAAGTTACAAATGATGAGCTCTCAGCTTACCATCGTCGTCTTGGTCCCGAGTGAGCGGCGAGAAAAGAAAAAAAAAAAGGAAAGGAAAAACAAGATTAATCTCTGCCCCCACAAAAGAAACCACTTTCCACCCAGGCAAGGCTGGGAGCCAGGCAGCCACCTACGTGTTCCCAGTTGCACTCCCCAGGCTGAGCTGGTGTCACTACAGAGAGTGTTTTTATTTGTGAGCCAGACAAATTCATGGCGATGATGAAAACATCAGTCATTTGAGAACTGCACTTACCACCAAACCAGAGGTATGCAAAATGGTTTAGGGTTATTTAAGGGTGAACAGGTCTGTTTAAGCCTGTAACTGAGGAATAATTGCATGAGAATTTTTGTTTTGATCAGAACCTTTATTCTGAGTGAGCAAAAGGATAAGAATCTAATTGCTTATAAAGAAGAAACTGTTTTCTAACTAACTTTATAAAATTGGAATTTATTCCCTTACTCCAAGCCCACCCCACAGTATTCCAATTTTCTGAGTGTCCTTTACAACACTTAAAACTGAAGCTTATGGCAAAATTAGTTGAAATCAGACCAACAAATAACTTGCATTAAATCAGTATTCAAACAGGAAAGGTTATTCAATGCTTCCCAGATCATAATTACCTTCAAAATAGAGGCACAAGTTTTTTCCAAGTTTTACTGCACACACCAGGATCTCATCACCAGGATCAGCACTCATCTTCACCCTGCCAGAGGTGCAGGGAGAGGGTTCAGAGTTAAGCACAGTGCTTCTTAATAAACCTAAATCCACACAGACTTCCCCTATGAAAGACCAAACTTCCAAAATACCCAAAACTTAGTTTCCCCTCTGACTGCCCCTACAAAGGCCTGTGTCTTTGGCACCTGGAGTTGGAATTGTGGAGGTTCTTAGGGAAGTTTGGATGGAATTTATTTTGCAGTAACATTGATTTGCTTATGGTGTTTTATCTCAACTTGAATTCTGATCTTGATTTCACAGCTATTCTCTTTCAAGAGTGACACAGAGAAGAGGGAAGAAGAAAGAATATATTTCCCTTAGGAATAACAACAATTATTTTATTAAAAAAACAGAAACAAAACACCAAAATCCAACAAAGCCTGAACTAATCATTGAAGACCAGTCAACTTCTGCACCTGAGAGGTTCCAGCCCTTCTTCTAAACACTTCAGGGGTAATTAGAACTGATCCAGGGCTGCACTCTGCCTCTAATGCCAACATACAACCAGGGACTCTGCAAGAATAATTGGTGTTAACGAAATGACTCAGTCTGACCATTCAGGAGATTCCCTGGCAGTCACATTCCCCAGGCCAGAGACTTCACTGCTGAGACCATCCCTGGCTGTTCTCACCTTCTTCAAGCCCTTTGTCAACCAAAGGTGTGGCAATTCACAGCCTCTTATCTTGGGCTCCCACCCAGAGCTCAACCTCCACTTCAACCTGCACCCCAACCTGCTGCTTGCAAACCTCCCTGCACCAGATGCATTCCTCAGCATCGGTTTTAGCTTTATTCATATCCCTTGCACTAAATAAATGCATTAAAACCAAGTGAACAGTAGGAAGATCCAGCTCTTGCACTGGCATTTCATTGTGCAATCGGAATATCCGGCGTCCTTCCAAAGCTTTTTCATCACTCCAGAAAGATTTTCTATACAAAGAAGCCGAGCAATATTAACTTGCACACACCCAGCAGCCACAGGGACTGGGGTGGGGAATTTCCTTGTCCGTTCAGTAAAGCACTTTAAAGTATGTATTTGAGAGTGATTTTTTTCTCATCCTACTTCTTATAAAAAACCCTAATGGTCTATAGTTTGTGCAGAAGAGACACCCAGGGTTCACTGCAGCTTTGTTTGCAAACACCAAACGAGACACCCCAACACCAAACCCTGCAAGCCTCACCCACAGCAAATTAACCACCAAGCCAAGGACTGCTTTGTTCTGGAGCGGAGGGGAAGGCAGGATTTAGGGATTTGAGGCCCTTGGTTTAATGGGTAGAACACATGAAGTGACTGTGCTTCTTCCCTCGATCACTGAATCACAGAATCACACAATCATTAAGGTTGGAAAAGACCGCTGGCATCGTCAAGTCCAACTCTGACGCAATAAAAAGAGCAGGCTTGAAAGGGACGGCAGAGGCTGAAAGTTTTTAGCTGACCGTTCGAGGTGGCGCGGAATGACTCACCCTGTGGAAAAGCGGGATTGCGGGGCGGGAGAAGCTCGAAGTGGGTGGGAGCAGAGCCCGCGGTGGTCCTTGCCGTCTCCTCGGCGAGCTGCAGGCGAATGATGGGAGCCGGACAGGCGGACGGAGGGCGGGGAGCGCAGCCGGGACCGGGGTCGGGACCAGGGTCGGGGCTCTCCCGAGGCCACCCGGTGTCACCGCCCCGCCGCCCGCGGGGGATGCCCGAGCCCGCGGGGAAGCGGTGGCTGAGCAGCGGTGCCGGGAGGGGAGGATCTTATAGCGGCTCTGCGGCAGAGGAGATCTGGGCGCGTTCCCAGGATATCTGCCGACGTCTGCGTTTGTGGCGCGGCATTTCCCCTCGCCGGAGACGCGGCACATATGCAAATGTGGGTGCTGGGGAAGGCTGGGATGCGCTCCCGTGATGTCAGACCTGCACCGGCCGGTCCGTGAGGTTTGGAAACAGGTACCGCCCGTCCCCATTCCCGCTTCCCCTTCCCCGCACGATGCCCGGAAACGCCCTGGCGGGAATCCAGTCTGGGATTGGGAACATTGCGTGTGCTGGCTCTGGGTAACATCGCCACCGCGGGCACCTCGCCCCGCATCCCTTCGGACAGAAGCAGCTCCAGAGGAGGAGTTCGGTTCCCTAAACACCCTGTTTAGGGATAACCCCTCCTTGTCCCCCCTTACGTGCTGCCCCTGGGGGGCTCTGGAGCGTTTAATGCAACAAACGCTGCTGTAACTGCATTCTGGTGATGGGATAATTAAGACCCTAAAAAACCAGGAAACGCAGCTTTGGGAATGAATAATTAACCGATATTTTTTGGTGTTTTTAAGTTTGTAGAACTTGGTGGCGCTAGTGGAAATCCCCGTGCCTCGATTTTTTCTGTTTGCAATGATGATTATTAGCAAGGCAGGAGGGCGTTCAGTGTGCAGCTCGGTGGGTAAATGGGAGAGGCTGAACTTGTAGGGATGAGAAAAACACACAAAGCCCCCAAAGGCAGCGAGTGATGGAGGGAAACGAGGGATTATCCCAGAAGAGGCGCCTAAATTCCTCCCTTGGAGCTACTTATGTAGCTAAGACCCCAAGACACTCCCTCACCTGCCCACGTGCCTGTTACTGCCCTTGGAGAGGGGAAAAAGAAAGGTAGGAATGCTTTAATATCCATCTGATAAAAACAGGCAGGTAATTTTGAGGTCAAAGGCACGCTTCCAATCTCATCTGAAATGATAACCATAAAGATTAAAATGCTGTTTTACTAATAACTGTGGGTTTGGACAGGTTTACCCTCCAGCACGTCACTGCCATGCTGGAATAAAAACCATGTGCTACAGAACTGACATGCTTTCCTTAAACTTGGTCCAAGAAACTGATGACATTAATTCCAAAGGATTTTAAAAAGCAGAGGAATTCCGCAACGGAGTAAAACCTCCTGTTTGCCAGAGACAAACAAAGAAAAATACATTTTTGGTAACTGCTGTTTCAAATAATAAATATATATCCCTGTTTACAGCCACTCACTGAATTCCAGCAGGACATCAAAGTTGTATCATCCCATTTCGAGCTCCTGTTTTGTTCCAGTTGTGTTTACCTAAATCTGTATCCCAGAGAGATCCAAATTTAATTTAAACACCTCAATTAGCTGATTTCTATATACAGCAGCTGTAATTCCACTATACCCCTTGGTGTGTTGTTTGAATGGTTAGTTCTAACAAGAAAAAAAAATATATATCTTTCTAAATTTAACTGACTTCTGTTTCTGGTCACCCATTTCTGTACTTTTTCCCGATAGACATTTCGTAACAAATAGTTCCTTTCTGCAAGTAGGATCAAGATGCCTCTTGGCCTTTTTCAACTAAAATAAACAGTTCAGCCCGTTTAAGTTTCCTTCTCTGACTAATTTTTTCTGCTTCAAATTAATATTCACGTCTCTTTTATTCACTCTAATTGACTTTTAATATTTTTCAAAAATTTGGGCACCAGAGCTTTATTCAGGGGAGTTCCCCATTTGGGTGATTCTTGTTCCCAGATACTTTTCATTTCACTGCAAAAGAATAAAAAAAAATGATGCTGTATTAATAATTTATCATTTAGCCTTTTTTTTTCTCATTAAGTTTAAATACACATTCAGATAACTAATGAAACATTAAATAATATTATACTTGGCAAAACCAATGCCAGTCAGCCAATATTATTTACTTTGTATTAACTGCTGGCACTAATATTTTTGGTCTATTGATATTACATACAAAACTATCAGGAAGGAGGATTTGGTCTTTCTTCTCAGCCTTTGAGAGTCTAAAAATCAATTAGGTCATTTAGCACATTGAATAAAAGGCGTTCCCTTCTCTTCCTCTGTAAATATTTGCATTTATTAAGGACCAGACTCTAACTCATACAATGGCTTCTGTGATAAGATTTAAGCTTTCATTTCTCCTGGCATTTAATATCTCCAATAATAAAAGAACTGGAACCATTTTTAGAGTAATCGCTTCCATAATTTTTCTCCAGTCTTAAAGGATGTGGAACTCCAGTAAGAGTTAACTCTCACACCTTAGATAATTTTTAAATTTATTTTATATTTAGACTGAGGCTTCTCCATAGACTGTCACATCCATAACATACTGAGAGTGGTAAAGAAAATTCAGATGTTTCATTTCTTCTAATTCACATGGTCTGTTAATAAAAATATCTTAACCTACTAATGATAACCCAGTTAAATAAACACCTTAAGGGCAAATTCCAAGACTAATCTATCATATCTATTTCATGATGTTTAGATAGTATCGCTAATAACATAAATATCCATTAAATGTTTGAGAATAAATGAGTTGGGCTGTGTCAGCATTTCGAATATTGTTTCTACTTTGGGGAAGTATTTAGTTCTCGTTCTTTCAGCAGTTTAATATCTTGTACTGAGGTTTTAATTTCAGAGCCTAATCCAATAACATGTGTGAGATTAAGATCCTTTCTCCTCTTAAAAAAAGAAATTAGAGAAGATTAAAAAAAAATAAAAAACCCCCACAGACAGCAAAACAACCCAGAGGCAGAATTTACTTCACTCCAACATGGCTTCAAATCCTTAAATAATTTCTTTCACTGAAGAGAAACCCTTTGAAGAAGAAAAAAGCTGGTCTCAGCAGTTGTGCATTTTTGGCGGAGTTGCTCATTTTAGTGACTGATATCTCAGGTTTTACTGATCTATGGCTTGAGTTTTGAGGCGGATCCAGCGGCGGATGGTCCGTCCGGCGTTTCGGGGACTTGGGACCGGGTTAGGGGAGACGAAACACGTTATCTGGGGGGGACAGCTCGATGTTTTAGTGAGTTAAGGAATAATCTTTAACTCGGCAGGGATGGGGACGGCTCTTCCCGGGCTGGGGGAGGCAGGAGCCGCTCCGGAGCCTGGGCAGGAGCTCTGGGGGTGCTCTGAGGGGAGCGGGGCATCCCCTGTGCCCATCCCTTGTCCCCTGTCCTTGTCCCCATCTCCTGTCCCTGTCCCCTATCCTTGTCCCCGTCCCCTGTTCCCATCCCTTGTCCCCTGTCCTTGTCCCCGTCCCCTGTCCCCATCCCTTGTCCCCTGTCCTTGTCCCCATCCCCTGTCCCTCGACCCCCGTCCCCTCACGGCCGGCCCCTCAGAGCCATTCCCCGCCCAGGGCCCGCCCAGAGCCTGAGGGGAAGGCACCGGTCTGAGGGTCCCCGTTGTCCTCCTGAGCAGGAGGGCACCGGGAAAGGGATAAATCCCCTTGGATATGGATTCCAGGAACCCCAGGCTGTGCCGGGACACCCCCGGACCTGCCCCGGCCGCTTCCAGCCCCTCAGGGCGCCCTGAGGCGCTGCCCCTCGGCGGGGAGGAGAGCTCCTTCGCAGAGGTGAACGCTGCAGGTTTTACACGATTTTACATAAATATCCCCCCCAGCCGCACGAGGTGACGGCTTAGCGAACCCCCCGTGCTCTTTGTCAGGCAGCGATGGCGAGCAACGCGCAAAAATCTGATGAGAGTGGGAGTAAACGTCAAAGGATGGAGGTGAGCGGTGCTGAGGGAGGGAGGGAGGACGTGGATCCCCATTCCGTGTCCTGCTCTGGATTCCTGGCACGCAGGGAGGGCACAGAGCTCCACGTAATTTCATGGAGGTTTGGGGAACCAGATATGACTTTCTTGTATGAGGAAACCGCAGCTTCCCTTCGTGTTTGAAGACCAACAAAATCGGGCGTGCACTGAGACATAGTTATGTGGAACGTTCTGAGAGTGAGCTGCTGAAATACACTGCCTTTTACTGATATATATATATATATATATATATATATAAATACATAGATATACATATACACACACTCACACATATATACAGTATATATATCAGTGTATGTATAAAAAAATATGTATATATTTACAGAGATCTCAAGCTGGTACTTCCCACCTGAGATGCTGTGCCCGTTCGCGATGCCCTGAAGCCAACACCGCTTGCATTTTCTCTAAATACAGTTCTCTCAAGATCTTTTTAAATCTCTTCTTTCCCTCCGTGCTAAGCTCGTTTTAAGTCCTAGAAGCTGTATTTTTTTTAATGTGCTCTGTTATTAGAATGAAGCGTCAGAAAATCCTCAGTTGTCCTTCCTTGACAAAACAGATTTGGCTCTTTCTGAGGACTCGCAGTCCCTTTACAACACTGAACCACTGGAAAAGGTTTTAAACGGTGACGTATTAAATATACTGAAAGTAAGTATGTAATTGCCTAATTTATGTTGAGATCCACGCAGATATTTAAATAAAATTGCTTTTTTTTTCTTTTACCAGATATGAGCAAAGAAATTATGACCTTGTTATCAAAATATGCTAACATTATAAGGCAAGTTAACTATTTGTACTATTTGTACAGCATCTTTCTAACTTCTCTAGACAAGGTGGAACTGAGTATTAATGGACAAGATGTTTTTAAGAAAAGCATAAAAGCAGCTTTAAGTAGTGAGAAAGTTCATGGCATTAGTGTTGATTTTAACAACAGATTTTTTTCACTTAAGTGAGACAGCAGCGATGGAGGCTTCTTGTGTCCAAGAACTGGAAGGAATCTTAAAAGAAGCGAGGGACATAGACGATGACTTAAAGCAGAAAAGGGAGAGTCTGAAACAGAGATTCACTGTCATGGCAAACACCCTGCAAGGATAAATGGAGTTCGTTCAGCTGCAGAAGTGCAGAGCCAAACTCAATACATTTCGTGTATTCAAACAAACCGTGATGAGTGTTGTGATGTCTGGTTCTTAGGTAAATATTTATGGCATTTCAGGAAACCTTCAACAACTTAAGCAGCGACTTATTCATAGTTAGTAAAACCAGTTCTTAATATCTGTTTTAAATCCTGTGACTCCAAGGTTTTCAAACACTGAAACGTAAGGATTTTACTTGTTAACCCACTGAACATAGTACAGAAAGTTTCCTATGAAACATAAAATTTTTTAAGTGGAAAAGGACCTCAGATTATTTACTTCTAATCATTTTCTGGGTTTGTGTTAGTTTTGGGGGTTTTTCCTTTCTACTTTAGAAAATGTTTTGGTGCTAAAGTCTTTGTAGAATGTACTTGGAATCTTATTTCAATTTTGTCTCAGAATACAAATAGGTTGAAGAGATCAGCTTAGAAATAGGAGAGTTCTATTAAGAAAAATACTTTGGGAAATGTATAAAGTCTTAAATTGAAAATGCATTTAATACTTGTACAGCTTTTCATGGCCATTTTGATATAAACATTAAAGCACACAATCAAAACTTTGCTGTGATGTCAATAAATAACCAGACAATAATAACGTGGTCTAAAATGCTCTTTTATTTTGGATACATGAGTATTGTTTGCTGTATATTCACTTTATTTAAGGATGTTCATGGAGTTTTTTTCGAGCAGTTTTCCTCTCTTGTCACTAAACTCTGTTAAAAAAGATGAAACACAGAATGTATAGAGAATCATGTACAAATTATGAGGCTTATTTAATAAAGAAAAGTGCCAGAAAGTCCTGGTGCTAGAATAAGATATATTTACATATATACATATACAGGACTGAGTATTAATTTTCTCTTAAAATCATTTCAGACTTAATCCATCCTCCTTCCCCCCCTTTTATGAACTAAAAGTCACAAGCAAACGTGCTACATGTCAAAAGTGACACGATTTAGAACAAATCATGAGAGGAACTGGACATGGAGGGTGAGATTTAGATACCTAAAGATACAAGATATGTCCTGAGCAGGATTTTCAAAGTGCCTAATCATGGTGTAAGCGTCTTACATGCTTAGGAATTTTGAAAAATCCCGTAAGGTGCCTATCTGCATCTTTAAGACCTTCAAAAGTCTGGCCAATGGGCTGCATCATATTTACCAGTCTCCTAGTTTTTTTTCTTTTTCCTAGTAATCTCACCTTGTAGTCGCTCTTGGTAGTGCTGTTTAAACAGAAAAATGTGGGAGGAAAAAGAGAAGATGATTTGGGAAGTGAAACTTTCTAGTATATTGTGCTAAGGGCTTCTAAAATCTACGCTCATCTACAGCAATGACAAACCCCAGAGTTTTAAATTGACATCTCTAAAGTGTCTGAATTTAGACATTTACCCACAGTTACTTATCCAAGCCTTTAAAGAAAAACTACACAAGTTTCATTACTGACAAATGTCTGCCTGTTACTTGCATTTTTATCTGCTTGTGCTTGGGAAAATTATGCAGCCTTTTTAGATTACCTGGATTTAGTTTCTGTGGCAAATATGTCCAAGTATTACTAAGAAACAGAACTTAGATTATGTGATCCAATACTTCTATAAATTTCCTCCCTCAAGGGATCAAGTGTTACTGTTGCAGCAATTTGCTCTATTTATAAAAAAAATTCATAAAATCCAATAAAAATTAGTAAAGCTCCACTTCTTAGGACAATTAAGAACTGCTTAGTCTGGCATAAAAGTGCAGTTAAATCCAAGCCATAACTCTCTGGATGATGACTCTTGTTTTTCTACAGTGATTTCTTAAACAATTGGTTGTCATTTAATGTTATAATATAATAACATGGAATATAAGAAGTAGTAAGGGGAATTTGAAGAGGTATTGAAAGTAAATTCAGGAAGTATGGCCACAGTAACCTAGGTGAGCATATGAACAGTGTGGTTGTGCTTATTAAAGTTTTAAAATTGCCAACAGCAACAAAACCTCTGATTTTGCCGCATGAATATATGTGAGGATATGTGTATAAGTAAACCAAGTAAAATGAATTAAATAGGGAGTTTTTCTAACGTTTTGGCTTGAAATGGAAAACTTAAAACATCCATTGAAAATAAACCAGCCTCTCCTCTTCTGAAGTTAATTAACATGTCACCAATGGCAATTGATCAATCATACATTAATCCCTTCCTGATTAAAGGGAGCTTTCCTTAATTATTGTGCGGGCCAAAAATAGAGAGTGTTTTTCTGTTGGCTGCCCTTCAGTGTTCCACTCAATATCTAATATTTGGGAGTACTCATTTACAAAACAGTACACTGTTTTGCTTCTAAGCATTAGAAAATAGCTTTTTGCTGTTTTCCTACTTGTCTACAATTCACCTACCGCACTAATGACGCTTCTGCCTCCTCTTACATATTTTGGTGTTTATTGGGAGAAACAAAGCAAGTTGTCTCTCTCCTTTCTGCTATGACACTAAAAGCTCATTCATCCTGTCCCCGAGGAGGGAGCTCCACGTGAAGCCCCACTGGCACCCATCCCACCACTATCCGCTTTCCCGTTTTACTGAAGGAGGTTTGGACAGAAAATTAATTGGCTTTAAAGCTGCAAAATCTGATCAGCGAAGCTCAGCTGGTAACTACGTTTTCTTTAAGCTTCTCCCCTCCTTGTTTAAGCTCCAGTGCCTGTAAATTAACACGAACGTCTAAGATTACAGATCAGTAACCCAATATAAATGGATTTTTTTTTAAACCTGGAAACAGCCTAGACAAAGTCCCGACCCTCTTGAAGTCAGGGGGATTTTGGCACTGAGTCTTTTGCAGTTCTGAGCTTGCTGTGAATACCTCCACAGGCTGGAAAATGTAAGTGATTAAAAACTTGGTTCTTCTGATTGCTCTTCTATTTAAAAGCTGAAAATGGGAAATAACAGATAATGCAGAGAGAGTTTAGATAGCAACAAGAATTCTTCCCTGAGAAAAGGCTGGTTGTGACTGTTTACTGAAAATGAGACTGCCTTTTAGCACAGGGGTAGGAATGGGGGGTCAGAATAGAAAAAGAGCAGGTCATAGATGTGTTTAAGCCTCGTGTAGAACTAATCAGAATGCAGGTTTGCTAATCACAGGATCTTTGAATTGGCTTGGAACCCCTGCTGACTGGGGTGGCACTGGAAGAGAGCAGAGCCAGAGGGCATCGTTTTGCATCATTGTGGGAGAACAGCCAGAAAATACAGTCAGTGCAACTCCCAGCCTGGAGAGGGGCTGAAGGAAGCTTCTGAACTATGACTTGGGGAACAATAAATTAAAAAAAAAAATCCTTGAGCAGAAAGCTGACTTACTGTGGAAAAATAACAGATGGGCGTAGCTTGGTGTAAAGCAATTGGCACCATTCTGTATGATATTATATAAAATCAGAGCAGTCAGGAGTAGGGCTACTTAAAAAGTCAGTGAATACTCATTTTTTTTCTGATAGGTCAGCTTATCCTATAGAGATCTGCTTCCAGCCTTGCTTATTCCACATTAACCTGAATGGTTTAGAAGAAGGACATTAGAGAATACAGTTAATTTTTCAAATAGTGGCAAACTAGGAGAAGTCATTGAAAAATTCATTGTAATCTCAATAAGACAAAGGGTTGAGCTGAAATCTAAATAAAATTTAAAAAGGACAAGGGGTGTCATCCATGTTTCTTACAAACCAGAACAATAGCTAGAGTTTGTTTGGTGGTGTTGTGTGGTGAAATACTGAAATGTGTTTGGTACAGCACAGCAAGTAAGACAAGGAAACATAGTCGTTCTCCTTCTCTCTGCGGTAGTTTGGTCTTACTTAAAAGAAAGTGGGAGTCAAAAGTAATAAAAAGTGAAGGAAAGTGACTGGTGAGGAAAGGCTGAAGCAGTTGGGTTTGTTTAGGAAAGCACAGCTCAGGGGAGGGCACGGTCAGAGAGGGGGTACAAAAAGCACCCGGTGCTGCCAGGTGTTCCCTGGATCTCGCAGAAAGGACAGGAAGAAATGAGCTTATTTTGCAGCAGAAGATTTAGGATGAGTATTAATCTGTCTGTGCAGTGGGGTCCTTGGAGTGCTGTGCGTGCTGCTCTGCTCCCTGTCAGGGCACAGGGCAGCTTTAAAGAGCTGCTTAATGCCGCGAAACAAAGGTTTCATCTCGGCGCATTTGCAGAGCGCTGGCAGCTTCCTCCCCGCATCCCGGAGGAAGGCTCTGTCCTAGGTCCGGCTTAGCTCGGAACAGCAGGGCACAGCCCGGTCCTTCCCCGTCGGATTCGACGGGCTAATCTGGCGTGGCAGCCAACATTCCTAAAGCCTCGAGATTCACTGAGCTGCAAAATGCTCACTCGGGTCTCGCAGCAAAACAAGACGGGTGTTTTTTTACGCGCGAACAAGAAGACAAGGCGACGGGAACCCTCGAAAGAACCGCCTTAAATCCCGGCTGCGCTGATCCGTTGCTACATCTCCCCTTTCTCTTCCCGCTCCCCAGGTACAAAAGGCACGTAGCGCTAGAGCGTTTTCCCACCGGCGGCACCGCCCCGCCAGCTCCGAGCTCACCTGGCCCAGGTGCGGCCGCCATCGGGGGCCGGGGCGGCATCCAGGACCGGCGGCAGGTCCCGGCCCGGCCGGAGCCGCGGAGCGGAGCGTGGGCAGCTGGATGGATCAAGGAATCCTTGGCAGCCCTGCCGGGACACAGCGCCCCGGCTCTTATTGTGAAAGGATGATGTCAGGCAGCTCTCTCTCATCTCCCGACACATCTCTGCTCCCGCTCACCGCCCTGGCACCGCTACCTCCGCTCCACCACCTCCGAGCCGATGCCTTCTGCCCGCCGGAATATGTTAGCCCAAATCCTTTTGCCCGCCGTCAGCCTCCTGCTTGCGCATTTGCAGTATTTCCTCTGCTGTTTGATGCAATTCATCCCAGGTAAAAAACGCATAAACAACCGAACCCTTCTGTGCTGTCGCGTTGGGAGGAGGGTTGCTGCTCCTGCTGCTGCTGCTGCTGCTGCTGCTGCTGGCAAGGGTCGGTGGAGCGATCTCACCTCCATCCATCAGAAATTCGGAGCTGAGCGACCTGAAGGGCTTTGTTAGATGCTAGAAATTCTCTGTCATTTATTGAATAGATAAACGGAGGGGCGAGGATTACAGCGGGCACGGATGGTTTCGAGCTGGAAGAGCAGTGCACAGCAGATTCCCTGCGCACGGGAGGCAGCTCTAAGTGGGCTGCGAGGGGGTGGTTTGGAGCAGGACCATTGGTGGAGCTTCCACCTGAACCTACAAGTTGGAAACTACCCCAAGGGATCTTGCATCACAACCAAACCCGGCAATTTGTGTTATCACTGCACTGCCTGAGTTGGTTTTGTTTGGGTTTTTTTTTTCGTTGATTTCGTTTGTTTTGGGTTTTGTCGGTTTGGTTTGGGGTTTTTCTTTGGTGTTTTTGTTTTGTTTTTGCTTCGTTTTGTTTTGTTTTGGTCCGAGACCTGCTTCCAGAAAATAGGAACCAGTAAAGATCGCAACTTAATTCACCAAAATTTCTGGGGTTAGGTGGTGGTGGTGGTGGTGTTTTCCTGCCCTTTAAATTCAAAGCGTTGCTCCTGGTGTATCCAAAGATCTGAAA